TGTCTTTCTTTAATTGTTTTTATGCTTTAAAATTTAATTATTGCATTTCGAGGGGGCCTGAGGTCAGTCACTTCCAGCCAGACCCTGTCCAAGTAGTCGGCTCTTGCGTAATTTGGCAATGTCTGCCATCAGCGTTAAGTGGAAAAGTCAAGGTCTGTGGACTCACCACCAAGAAGACATTCTAATCACGAAGAAGAATCGAAACCTGAAAAGCGGATTAACGAAACACGGCTAGGGAATTCACGGAAAAATGGCCAAACGAGTCTATTCATAAAGAAAATAATTGCTGTCCAGCACGAAAAGCTTCACTAAATGAATTCCTTGTTATTATGAGATCGTGCGTTCCAGCTTTGCGATAAGCATGATATCGTTGTATATAAGTGTAATAGGGGCTAAACATAGAAAGTTTATTATTTATTAAGTTATATTTATAAAAAAAAAAGAAGATATGTATCTTTATAATACAACTGTTATTAATGAATTGCAGCTCTAATTGTACTGGCAATCCTTGGCTACGCAAGCGCAGAATCAAAGGTATGTACAATTCAACTTACATTCTTGACTGATTCTACATTATTCTTGCTTTATAGTATCGAACTCCAGCCCGGATATTGGCCAAGCAAACGGGTGCTACTCAATTCGAGGAGGAACGCTATGAGGCCCATACGAACTGCAACGAACAGAAGCACCACTTGAAGAAACGTGCTTCTGATGAGGATGTGGATTACGAGGTTTACCAAGGAGTTGTTGGGCGACCCGGCATCGACTTTCCCATCTACCCACGAATTCCAAAGACCTCGTTCAGTTGCCGTTCATATGGCAACGGCTACTTTGCGGACATGGAAACCGATTGCCAGGTGAAATAATAAGAATGTTAAAATAGTATGAAAACGTAACTAACTCTTCGTGTTTCCTTAGGTTTTCCATATCTGTGAGGAGGGCCGTAAGATCTCCTTCCTCTGCCCCAATGGCACGATCTTCCAGCAGAGCGAGCTCACTTGCGACTGGTGGTTCAAGGTTAACTGCCTGGGATCCTCGGGCTACTACGCAGAGAGTGCAGAGATCCTCAACAAGCAGCGAGTGCATCGCGTGCGTCCTTCTGTTCCCGTGCAGGGCTTTAATATCGTGGGTGGAGGACTAAACATAAAGCCCAAAGTCGCCCCAGTTGCTGGGCAGGGCAGGTCCGGAGGACCGCGAGCCAATCCCGACAGACGTATCGATTCCACGGAAGATGTGCCCGCCTCAGTGGAGAGTGTGGACTTTGATGATGTGTCTGGCGAGAAGCAGCGAAAGGTTTTGCCCAGCATCGATAACAATAGCAACGATCACGAAAGCCAGATTACAGCGGAAAGCTCCTCATTTGTTAGCGGTTCCGGCAAGCGGAGAACCAACAAGGAGAGCAGCCCAAATCGCAACGATGACATCACGGTCCTGAAACCCGCTCGTCACAGGACTCCAGTTGCCTCCCAGGAAAGAGGAGTCTCCACTGAAAGAGCACGAAATGGACAGCGGGGACAGCATCGCTACAGTGGAAGCGAGGAGCACAGCAAAGAGAGGGAGAAGCCAACTCCCGGCCAAGCCAAGGAAAAACCGGAGTTCTTTGAAGCTCATACCACCCGATCAGTGCCACAAACCACAGCTCACTATTCTACCGGAAGCCATGCCACCGTGCGTCGACTAGAGCCCAACAAATCCACGCCATTCTACACCCCCACAGTGCCCAGTTTGGTTAAATCGAAGAGCACCGAGGGCAAACTGAACTACATCAAGGGTGGTCATGTGGCCACAACACCTAATCCCCACAGATTCGGAAGTGCCAGCTCAGGTGTTTTTATTGAATCCTCTGTGGCTCCCAAGCTCAAGCCCACTGCTGGTGCCAGCATCGAGCTGGACAGCACGTTCAAGCCGGTCATCATTGGCATGCGCCATCACTATGATGTGGCCAGTTCCGGCGAGTTCCGACCCCCGTCGAAGTCCACCGAGAGTCGGGACTATCTGCCAACTACTCCTTCACCATCGGCCGCTAGTAGCGGTCCAACTTATCTGCCCAAGAGTGGAAAGTCGCCAAGAGTAAACACCGGCGGTGCAGCTGGAGAGGATGTTCTGTTGTTCGCCCCCAATCCTGTGAAGGAAGAGTCTGTCTACCGTAATGTGCAGGATATGCTGAAAACAATGAATCTGCTGAAAGATCAGTTCGAGGATGTTGAGCTAAATGCAGCGGCGGCAGCTCCTGCTAGAGTTGGCTTGGAGATTCCACCTTCCTCCGGTCCAGATGCCCTCGTTTCATTTGCCAAATACTTTGCGCAAGAGCATAATGAAACCACTAATTCCCTGAGTAAAAAGGATAAGTCGGAGAAGGTGGACAAAACCGGTGTTCAGGCTAAGCTACCCGTGAAGCCACCACTTCCAACTATCAAGCCATCGGACACCACTGCTCTACTGACCACTTCGGAGAATCCTCCAGCCATTAGTGACAATGCAGACGACATCAAGAAGAGTCTTCTGAGTGATACTACCGTGAAGAAGTACAGCAATCTGTTTGGCCTGAAGTCAGCCCAAGGTCGTGGTGCTTCCGAGGCGGATATTAGTACGGGCCTACTCTCTAACCAGGCAAACGGAACCCAATCCGAAGCGGGACCAAAATATCAGCAGTTCCCACAGATTGGCAGCACTGGTTCCACCATAGGCGCACTGGCGGATAAGCCGGAGACTCGTAAGATCGCTCAAATCTTCTCCAACGCTCTGTCCAGCTATCTTGAGAACCCAGCTACTTTTCGAGCGGAACTTGCTGCCCGAGCTCACCCCACGGAGCCACCAAGCACTCCCAACTTTAAGCCCGTGACCACAACGGATCCGTCGCTCTTCAGCGATGGCACCGCCAAGTACTATCTGCCCACTAAGGGATTGCCAGACGCGACCACCCCCACACCGAACAGCATTGCAGCGGAAATAAACCACAAATTCGATTCCACACTGGCTCCAGAGTTCTCCACCACCACTGAGCTGTATGAAGGCAGCACGAATCGCGGCCTGGAATTCTCTGGGGAGCTTTCGCCGCCAAGCCAGGACTCCGGCGAGGAGTTTCTGCAGCAACAGCAAACGCAATCGTTTGTAAAGTCGCGCAACGATCTGCTCAAGGATGCTAGACCCCAAAAGCTAGTTACGACCCACAAGCCGACGGAGCATCCGTGGGCACTCAAGTCGCAAACGGACTTCCTCGATCCCCTAACCATCAACGATGGTCTGATGAAGGAGCAGAGAACCTCCACTAGCAGTACCACAACGTCCACATCCACAACAGCAGCTCCGTTTGCCTACAGGGTAACCACACCCACGCCATCTCGTTACGAGTGGGAGGACATCTTTCGCAGCTACGACATTCCCAGGGATGCACTGCCTTCCAGTAGTGGACTGCAGAGGATTGCCAATAAGTTGTTCGGTGGCCTCAACGAACAGGAGGCACTGCACCTACGCAACGTCATGGCAAAAGCGGAGCACGATCGCCAGGTGCTGAGCCTGCTGCTGCTGCTCATCCAGACCTGCGATGACCACAACGGCAAGGCGCTGGAGAGAAGCCGGAAGCATCTGCTCAACGCACTTATCGATATTGATAGCAAGACACCTGCTGGAGGTAAGACCTCCCGGCAAAGATTGACCACCACCACCAACCGCATCCCAGTGACCACTTTCCGACGTGGTGGTGGTGGTGCCGCCGGCTCCGACTACTTCACCAGTACCACGCCTGGCTACACGACAACCACGGATCTGCCCACCACAACAGGGTTGGGAGCGGGCAGCTACGAGGAGACCACCAAGTTCGAAATACGCGTCGAGGATCTGGAGGAGACCACGACGGCGATGGCGACGGCCCCTCTACTGGAGGTCAACTCGGACCGCCGGGCCCTGGAGCTGCTCAAGTCATTATATTCGCTGGCGTCCAAGTTCAGCAGCAGGCGATAGAGCGAGGGCGGTGGCGGTTCCTAGACCTTGCGAGTTAATGCCTAACTTTAGTCAACTCCACTCCCCCTCTTCAATTCAGTTTGAAATTCTTTAATTTAAAACGTCCCATAACTATTTTGATTCTGAACCAGTTACTTGTTAATCTACTTCGTTTAGCCAATGCAATTGCGCAATTAGTTTGTAAATATGTAATCGAAACACTCGAGGATGAGAGCCCTGAAATACTCCCATGCCCAAAACAGGCATAGTCTTGGTGGTTCCTGATGCCCAGCCAAGCAGTTTCCGTTTAAGTTTAATCGAGAGTTGTATTAAATTAGTTTCTTACTGCTTAGTCTTAACGAACGAGAACACTTCCATCCAGTATCCAGTAGGAGCGATCTATTTGAACAATCTTTACGTCTTGCTGTCTGTTTGTAAATATTTATTTAAACTTAATAAAGTACATATAACAATGAATAAAAGATCAAGCGTATTACTTTCGAGATAGTTGATGAATGCTTGTTGGCCAGCTAACTGATTAAACCATTACTACTGGCACTAGCTGGCCTCTCAATAGGTTTGCTTGGTGACTCCGCGATCGCCTTGACATAAATCCATTGGCTTTTGCGTTTTCCAGCTCTAATATAAATCTTTGGTAAGGTCACCCCATCATGTAATCAGTCGAAATTTAAATATTTTTACCATTGCTGGTGAATGCATTTGCAAGAAAATCGAATTTCCCGCTCGCAAGGACAAGTAGCATCAGATTGTGATTACATTGCACTTGAAATGGCCATAATATTGAATTGATCAACGTATACCTAACTTATATTACGTATACGTCATGTAGGGTCTCGCTGATATATGAATTCTGATAACTGGCCGCAGCCCCGAACAATGGATAATCCAGCGTCGTAAATCTGCTAAAGCGCAAGCATCACTAACTGACGAACTGTCATTGGTCTTTGGGGCAGCTGCCACATAAATATGGTAAAGATGCCGCATCCAAGTCGCGCTTTCAAATTCGTATATAATTCTAAGATCGTTCTGAGCTTGGCCGCAGTAGCTTCCCAAGTTTTGGACAGTTCACAGGTCGCCGGGCGAGAAGCAGAATTAGCAGAATATCGGACTAGGATAAGCTCGTAACTCGGAATCTCCTGCGGCATGATGCAAGTGCCCCTGCAACGCTGTTCGTGCGTCTTGGCAGGTGAGTTGGCCAACCAGTCGGCTCTGACCCAGACCCAACCAACTACGGCGCGTAACTCAACAGTGACGAGCGATCCGCTGTCCGGCCCATCAGCCCAATCACTATTAGCACTTCCTTTGTAGGGGCGTCTGTCTGTCTAAGTTTTTGCTGCCTTGCATATTTACGAGGCATGCGTCTTGCCTTTTGCCCACTGGCTGCCGCAATTCTTGCCAGCCAATTGATGTTGGCGTGCGTTATTTCAGCAATTGGCATAGTGTCTGAAAGGCAATTTTTAGGCAACTCTTACCAATACCATTATTAGAACCTCGTTTCTTCCGAACGAATCAAGCAACAGCTTTAATAATTGTGCACTATAAACATTCAAAAAATGTTAGCTACTAATCTTGGAAACTATATGTTTCCAGCTTGAGTACCTAAATTATAGTAAATTTGGTAAAAGCACCGATTGTCTGTATGCAAAAGCTTTTGCTCCCTCCATTTCAATTCTGGCTTTTGACCACTGTGCGCCCGACGTAAGAGTAGGAAGCTGATAAATAAAGATCGCAGTGCAGAACCGTCTAAGCCGTGCTATCAGCGCCCAGAATCGCGACGTACTTGGCCTTAATATGGGCTTCGAAACTCTTCGCTGCCATCGCCATCGATGGCTGCCAGGGCGTTCATTTCCATTTGGTGCGTCGGCAGTTCCACAGCTCGGAGGAGTTCTTCGCCAGATTCCACGGACGATTAGAAAGCGTTAATGTTGGCCCGTTTCTTTATTCCAGTTTTGGTGCTGCTCTGGAGTGGCGGATTAGCCCAGCTGCAAGTCCAGGTAAGCTTTAAGGATATCTTCCCTTTTAAACTGTAATCCCCCCCTTTACAGGCTCAAAGTGGGTACAACTATGGTCGTCCTGAGGTAGCCAATGTAGGAGGAGCCACCGCTGGAGGCCGCTTGACACCTGCACCATATCCCACAGCACCAGCCCTACCACTTACTCCCGCTCCGGCCCCCACCGCATATGGGACGGGCTTGTTCCCCTCACCCGCTGTTGGATTTACGCCAAGTGGACAGGCTACCACTGCCTTTGGAGCCCCCGCCATTGTAGGAGCCACAAACCCCGTTAACCCGCCGAGGAGAACTTCGTCTGGCGGTTTGTCCACCCCATCATCTCGCAGTGGACCCTACGGACCGCAGGCTTCGCAGTACGGAAATGCTCCCGGCGGGTCTCCAATCCGAGTTCCTAGTGGAACCGGAGACAGCGGGGACTACAACGATTCCGATGGTGACTACTCGGCCATTCCGGGTGTTCCTGGAGTGGATTATCCCATTTACGCCCAGGTGCCGCGCACCAATTTCGACTGTGCGCAACAGCCTCTGCCCGGATACTATGCGGACATAGAGGCCCAGTGCCAGGTGTTCCACATCTGTGCCCTCAACCGGACCTACTCCTTCCTGTGTCCCAACGGCACAGTGTTTAGCCAGGAGACATTAGTGTGTGTGTGGTGGAACCAGTACGACTGCGTTTCGGCGCCCAGCCTATATGCGAATAATGCCTATATCTATGATTACTCTGAGAGAAGTGGCTCCAATCTGGGATCATCGAATGCCAATAATGCCTACCGCCCGGGTGCTTCTTCCTCGACTGCCTTCGGGGCACCTCTGGCCACGACTGGAACACTGCGAGCCACCGGAGTGCCTCAGGTCGCTGGATATAACTCCGGACGGGGGTCCTATCCTTCAGCCACGCCCACCCCAACCGCCCAGCCACAAAGCCCTTATGGCGCTGGGGCCGTCCTCCGTCCCGCCATTATCCCGACCGCTGGAGTTAATCGATTACCACCATCCGGAGCTGCTGCCGGCCTTCTGGCCACTGCTGCCGGAGCTCTTCCCGAGAGTTCAGTGGCTGGATTCGGGCAACAGCAGTCGGGCGGAAATAGGGAGTACCTGCCGCCAGCTAGCGTTGGACAACAACGGCAACGAGGAGGCACCAATGCATAGGTACCAAATAGAATACACTGGCGAAACCCCTGGCACTTGTACCCGGTTATATGACACTAATCTTAGTGACTCTAGACTTAGCCTCTTTATAGAATGTTAGGAGCTCCAAACATAATTACTTGTAAAATCCCATTCATTGAAATATACTACAGAGAAGTTCAAAGCAATTCCCTTCATGCTTGTAAAACAAGCTTTAAGATAATTTAGAACTTTCGCGACCCTAAACGTCAGCATATTATTTCAATCTGACTAAGGAAATTCTGGTATCACACTACCTTCTAGTTGCTATTCACTTGCTTTAACTGAAAGAATGTTTAATGCATTGAAACAAAGTTTTGTTAAAAAATGATTTTTGTGAAAATAACTATAACTTTACTTTATCTCCAACCTTTTCTTTATTGAAGTGCACTGAAGAAATCATATTCTAAGGTTTTTTTATCCTTCCCATGCGAAACATTTCCTTTCTGCATCAGTTTTCCGTACTCCTGTTTAAAGTCCGAGCGGATATACAAGTGTTTGCCCCTTTTCAATTTCGGCTGACCCGCTTTGGGCAGAGGTATTGTAGGGTTAAAGGCCATCTGAGTGCTGTCGAATTGCGTAAACAGCTCGTGGGAGGTACTAAAAAAAGAAGCAATATTTGTTGAAATCGCATATGTAGTCGGCGTCTAATTACGTACAGTTTGCCTATTTCCGTGGGCAAAGCTCCCTCGCCCGATGCTGGCACTCCATGAGCAATGTGAACGGCCATCCGTCGCACCGTGGGATGATAGTGACGTGCCAGAAGCGCAAGCTCGTATAGCGCTGTGCTGGCTGCGTTACAGTACTCAGGATCGTCCAGTTCGGGATCGTAACGTCCAGATCCTATCGTAGTGTCTGTATCCAATAGGTTGTCGAGCACAGAAGTGAGCTGGAAGGTTTGTTTTATGGTGCCAAGCGTGGCCAGGGTGCCATTATGGAGCAGATGCAGACTTCCAGTTAGCAAGCGTTTCATGAAGGCCATTAGGCGCTGCTGGCTCATATTGCGACGACGCTTTACGAGCACCTCATCCAAAGTTCGCAAAATAATGGTGAAGTCATCGTGATTCTTGCCTGCTTGCACCGCCAGCATATTTCGGTAAAAGTGCTGGTAAAATCGGATGGGGTCGATGTTTAGCACCTCACCCTGGCCGGAAAGGATAACAAATATGGTCTGAACACAGTGCAATCGCTCTCGATAGCCCAGCTCGTCTTGATCCTCTAGAATGCGGTTGAGCACGTCGATCAGATCGGAGAAAAAGTCCAAATTAATGACGTGCGCAAATCTAAAAACCATACTCTATATTAAAAGTTCCAAAAAAGAAATTTACAATGACCACTTACTCTGCCAATCCTTCTAGGATAGCGCTCAGCACGCGCGATGTGGGATCGTTCTTAAGCACGCGGAAATAAATGGTAAATACCATCTTTATGATCTCAGTGAGCTTCTGATGCTTTGCTTGCTTGTTTTCCTCGGCACGGGTTTCCTCCAGTTCTCTGTTAACCTCGGTGAGTTTCTTACGTCTTTTCCGCTCTTTCTTGGACAAACTTAGTAAGCGTTGACGATGCGACTCAAGCTTCTTTTGCTTTAGCTCGTTCTCCTTCTCGGCATCTAGGTTTACGTTCTTGATTTTAAGGCCCATCAAACAGGTGATGCACTCCACATGAACATTGTTCTGCTTTGTTTTGATCAAGTGGTTGATGCGTCGCACAATGAAAAGAGTCATTTCCAACCGCTTGTCGTTGGAAAAGACTGTTCGGAAGCACTGATTGACCGCCGTTCGCATCTCCGGATAATTACAATTCAGCATATACACCAGGAGCTGGGCAATGTTTTGTACGTAGTTAAAGTAGGGATGTGCCACAAGCAAATCACACATGCACTGTACTGCAACGGTGGCCAACTTGACGGTCTGGGGCGTCCTTAGACCACCTCTCCTGTTTACTTGCGCTGTGATCTGTTCCAGTTTTTGCAGAAACTTTTTAAACTGTTGTAGCAAGGCGTTTTCAAAGGTTACACGATCCAGAGTGGCCTTGCGAAGCGTCTGCATCTTGGTGTCCACCTGACCCACTCGATACTCGGGCAAGATGTCTTTAAATATTTCGGTGACAGAGATTATGGCCAGCTTTCTGACGGCCATTAGGTTGGCCTGTCGGCTGGCTGGGTTGACTTCGTCCATGAGCTCGTACAGCGCATGAAAGTTGCGCATCTTGTCCTCTGGTTTTTCAAGCAACCCCGAACAAATGATTCCAATGCGATACTTCTGGCGCTCGATCTCCTGCTGCCGGGCAATAAGTAGATCCGTGGTAGAAATCAGTTTTTGGACGGGAGCGGCGGACGCGGCCTCAACATCGTTAACCACGTCGTCATCGCTGTCCTCATACTCCGTATCAGCATCTTCCTCGGAATCATCCTCCTGTTCTTCTTCATTTTTCTTTTTCAGCTTGGGCTTAGGTATGTAATCCACCTCTGTGGTACGGGTGATAATCTGACCATCCCTGGACTTGATTGGCAGCAAATCCATCTTTATCTTTTGCGCATCCTGTTCTTTTTTCGTGTCGGATGCGTAGGCCCTTTCTAAGCCAATGGATTGGCCTTGGTCAGGATCCTCCTCGCCGGTCGCCTTTGCCTTTCGTTTGCGTTTGTTAGCCTGCAGCAGGGCAAGATCATCACCATCCAGCATATCCGCAACGTTATCAAGCATCTCATCGTCGCCATCCTCGTTGTCTTCCTCGAGCGGATCCAATCCCAGGGAGGCCAATTTGTTGTGCTTCTTACGCTGTGCTAAGTTGTCCCGCTTTCTCGCCTTTTGGGAGAATATATTCTGGCCCTGTTCGCGTTTTGATTTCAGTTGATCGCGCTTTTGCTTCTGTTTTTGTTGCTGCTGCTTTGACAGCGGTGTTTTTTTCGACTTCAGGTGAGCGGCCCGCTTCACCGAGCTGATTTTGACCTTTTTCTATAATTATTTGGCTTAAAGTGTGCATTAATTACTTGATCTTTCTACTTACAGCTCCCATTGCACCAGCTTAAGACGATAATTAATTAGTTTTCACAAATATTCACTTGTGAATGGAACGAGCACATGGGAAGCTAACGGAACTGTCCACTCGTCAGCGGAGCGCAACAGCTGCTTATAAGGGGATAGTAGTTTTCAGTATTTTTGCGTGCGCTACCTTAAAATACTATGGTCTTGAATACCATTTATTATATGTTAGACAATTTCTAAAACATAAATTGTCTGCTTCCTGAATCACTAAACCTACCAAAGATTATACCACACCATCTGAACTCAATCTTCATTGCAAAGGTAAGAGGGTATTATTGTTATTATTAATATCGTAATAATCCCATGGTCACACTTAAAAGAGCAGTGTAAACAAAAAACACGGATGTCAGACGAGGAGGAGGATTATATGTCCGACAAATTCCTGGCTGGGTGAGATTAGATTTACATCTTACGCACAACCACCATCTAATACACTCTCATCCTACCCCAATTAGTCTGCAAGATGTCCGTCCTAGTTTGGTTAACAATCGTGGCAAAAAACGGCAGATTGAAGTCGAGTCCAAAAAAGAGGAGCTCAAGAAGCGGCAACGGGAGACAGCAGCTTCTTCCGAAAACGTAAACAATGTTCGTCTACAGCAGTCCCTGAACAAACCAATACCCGCCGACAACAAAGGATTCCAGCTCCTAGCCAAAATGGGCTACAAAGCAGGCTCTGGGTTGGGCAAAACTTCGGATGCGCGTACGGAGCCCGTGGGGATAACCATAAAGAGCGGTCGTGGAGGCCTTGGGCGCGAGGCAGCCGTTGCAGAGTTGACCCTTAAGCGGCAGGAATTGCGGAGGGCACATCTCCTCAGCAAGGCCGGCATTGAATCCGGCGAGGAAGTCAGCACTGAGGCTTATAGAAGGCGTGCGACTCATAAAGCGGAGGAGCGCAAATTGCAGTATGACATAAAACGGTGCCAGCAAACCTGCGAATCGTTAGATCTTAAGTCCGCTATCACAGAACCAGATCTCGATTTCTTTTGGCCACCCAAACCAAAAGATGAAGAAGAAACACAGAGCGATGCCGACGATTCTGAAGCCGAGGTGCCATCCAAGGAAGAGTCATACAGTCCTTCAGAGCAATTAGAACTCCTCACTAGCTATCTGCGCACTGCATATTACTTCTGCTACTGGTGTGGAACCCATTACGAAGACGCCGAAGATCTGGGCTCTAACTGTCCAGGACTCACTCGTGACGAACACTAACTAGCTCCAGTCAATAAAAAATGTATCTTGATTGCTTACACATAATTTCAAATAATCAGCAGGTTTAAAATATTTTACAATAAGTGGTCAAAAAACAGTAAGCGGTGTATCTGTTTTGGGGAAATGCATATAAATGAGTTGTAATCCAGTTAGTGGGAGCTACAAGCGACCCTCCAGTTTCTGTATCAGATCGTGGGTCCTTTCGATAACACTGAAAATGAATGGGCGTTCCATAGGATCGGTTCGCAGCATGTATTTAATTAATTCGTGCATGTCCTAGATAAATATTTAGAATTAGATTTTGTTGAGTTAGAGAAAAGGTTTATTACCTCTGTGTAAATGGAATCCTCAGGAATGTTTATGTTCCCACTAAGCACAGCCAAAGCCACGCTGTCGCCTCGCTCGTAGATGGGATCGTAGGGTGAATTAAAGTAGCACATTGCATAGAGCACACAACCAAGACTCTGAAAGCGGGAATATATGGAAGGAGATGTTATGGAAGAAGTCTAAGACTGCTTTCTTGGATCTGTTTTACCCATATGTCTGAACGCTCGTCAATTGTGCAATATGTTTTCACGGTAAATAACTCTGGAGCCCGGTAGACAATGGAGCTCCTCTCCTCGGCCTCGTCCTGCAGCCGCTGGGCATCCGTCTGGCCCACAATCTGCAGTCGGGCTTCCGTCATGGACCCGAGATCCACAATTATAGGCTCAAACGAGTCCGACAGGCAGATGTTGGCCGTTTTCAGATCTCGGTGGGCCAGAGGCACCGGCTTTGCCTCGTGAATGGCCTTCAATCCCTCGCAGACGCCCAGAAAGATCTGCAGGATCTGGGCCTCGGGCATGTGGTCCTGTTTCCGCGATCGCAGCTGCAGGTGGTCCGCGAGAGATCCGTGCTTATAATAGGGAAGCACGATGAACAAGGTGCTCGTTGTGTTTATAACTATGTCCGCCTGGCCCTTCAGCTCGTAATCCACTACCCGGATTACGTTTTCTGAATCAATTTTTCGGCAGTTTTCGATTTCTCGCAGAGCTATATTCTGGTCATCGATGCTGTGGCAGGTGATGCGCTTTATCGCGTAGCTACGTCGCGTGGAGGAGTTTTCCCCAAGGTCAATTAGACTGAAGCCCCTGCTCAAACACTCAGATTAGATATTTCAGAGGAGATAGTGGAGCAAATGGTACAAACCCTGTCGCCAGCCGTTCGCGGATTGTGTACCGAGATCCGTTGATGTTTAGGGTCTCCTTCCGACAACTAAAGAGGCAGCCGCGTTTCATGATCAGCGTCCATCCTATACTTTGCATTTTGGTTAAATTACGCTATGGACTTTACAACTTTAAGCTTAACAACTAGTTCAATTCACATACAAAAATCTAAATAGAAAACAGAAAACTGAACTGCAATGTGTACACTGGGAAGAGTTTACGAAGTTCGGTGATTTTGAAATAATTTTGTGAAGCTGACTATAGAGGAAATTTAAGCATTAATTTAATTTTATTTTGACGATTATCATTTCCTCACGCGATTATTATTATTTTTTTTTAATCCTTGGTGTATAGACAAAAGGAATTCATGATTCTGTTATCGCATAATCGCGATTTCTCTGCACTACAAACAGCTGATTCGAAGACAGGGCGGTCATATTTGCCATGTGGCTGTTTGCGTTGCCACCTAGTTGCAAATTGTTCCTCACGAATTTATTATCGTGCGGAAAATAAACTTAGCGTTTTCCTAATTTAATCAATTACAAGTATGGAGGATGACGCGTGGCAGGACCTCGTGGGCATCAGCGCCGACCCGCCCAACAGACGCGACAAGTGCGAGAAGTGCAAGTGGGTGGTAAAGCTGGGAATCTGCAACAAAACCTGAAGTCTCCCCATAAAATCTTTACAGACGACCTGTGGTAGTTTGCTGGTGCCCGGCTTTACCGCATCCACCTGAGGCGGTGGACTCACAGATTGTGATATTGCAACACCCTGCAGAGGAGAAGAGATCGCTGCGCACAGCACTGATGCTGCAGTTGGGTCTGGAACCAGGAAAATGCGTCGTCTACAAAGGCAAGCGTTTTCCAAACCATAGAAACCACGCTGATCTGCAGAGGATTCTTGACTCCCCACAAACACTACTTCTGTATCCCAGCCGGGACTCAGTCCCACTGGACGAGGTGGACCACAGTGCGGGTCCTTACACACTGGTGCTCATCGATGGTACCTGGCCTCAGGCTAAAGCCATTTATGCTAGCAGTCCAGCTCTACACCGCCTGCGACAGGTGAAACTCATCGCCGTGGGCATAAGTGACTACATCATCCGAACCCAGCCTACGGAAGGATGCCTCAGCACATTAGAGACCGCAGCGCAATGCCTGGCCGTGCTCGAGTCTCGACCAGAACTGAGGCAAACGCTTGTGCGTCCCCTGCACACGCTTTGCAAGTACCAACTAGACAACGGAGCCGTTGAACATCAGTCCAAGGAGTTCCTATTAAAGAACAACCAATACCCCAAACTCATTGGCAAGCGGCTCAGCCGTCTGCTTAGAAACACCGCCTGCGATGGCAATGAGGAATCGTGATAGCCGTGACAGAAAACACCGGATAAGTTGCATGTGTCTGTGCTTTATAACCAACTTTGTGCTCCGGTCGTAGCCGTATTTGATTTAGTAACGCCAATATAATATTTTATACTGATAAGTCTGAGCTGTGGCCTTTGCTGATAGTCATACGGTGGGTTTGTTCCTGGCATCCGTGAGAGCTCTGGTGAACACGCACTTGACGATGGCATAGCCCCGCATGCAAGCATTCGTCTCGTCCTCTGGGGATTACACATTAAATATTTCGTTTGCAATTTAAGAAGGCCCACTGAACACTCACTGCCTTCAGCTTCGCAGGCTTCAACGGAATCGCCAGTGGCTGGCCAAACATATTTGCGAACCAAATCCGTATTTAACTTATAGTCCGTCATCAAACCGGACTTTTCGAAGAAGCAGTTGAAATAGCACTGCAAGAAATCTTTGAGTATCGGAGGGCAAAGGATCCTGAAGGGACACCTACCATGCTGGTTGCCCTATCCTTGTCATCTGGTAAGTCGCCGGTGTTATTAAACTGCAAGACATTGGCTGAAAAGGTGATAAATAAAGTCACATATAGCCTTCCTTATCCCTCGCAGTTTTTTTTTCCACACTCACTCGTCGACGTTATAAAACTAGCATTGCAGTTCCGATTAACCTCTTCAAAATCTACGTAGTCAGCATCTCTAGGAGCTGCAGTGGTGGTGGAAATGTCATCCACATCGCCATCGAAACTATCATAGTTTATAATGAAAATATCGCCATTGTCCTTGGCGTGATCCTGAAGAGCCTTGGCACAATTCGGGCCCAGGCTCAGAAGAGCAAAGACAGCACAAGCACTAACTAGTGCGGAATACATCTTGAACTAACAAAGTGATGTGTGGGATTTTGTGACTGCCCTTTTATAAATCGCATTCTCATGCATTTAATAGATTTGATCGTGCCATGCACTGTTAGAATAATTTGACATAGTATTTCCGGAAATTGAGTACCAATAAAGTATACTTTGAATAGGATTCACACAAAAGAACCTGATTTTTCAGTGATTGATCAATTTAGATAATATCTCACTAAATGAATCTCTGTTACCATTGAGAATTGGTACATTACTCCACTTACCATACGGGATCATATTCTCATCCGCACAGGCAACACGAGCCGTGTAAAACATGGCATGCATTTGCATCTGCACTTCCGGATCGTCGGGTACGATATCCTGTGCAGCCACCCAAATCATGGATAGAAATCCGATTAAATATAGGCAACGAAACATTTCGAGTAACTGACTGGTAAGCAGATTTTTTCGCCCCTATATATACCGATTATCGCTTATTGTGCGCTAAATGTTTTCAAATTCATGAGATCGTTTGGTAGTTAAACTAAATTGTTGCACTTTAATCGAACAATAAATACATGCAATATACGCGTATACAGAAATATAGGACATCAATCATCCGTCCAATTTCAAAATGAACGATAAACGAAATTTACATTGTCAATAAGTCACACGAATTATATACTTTAAATGTAGTTCACTGGTTCGAAATCCATAGTTTAAATGTAGTGATTGGTCAACATAAAGCTCATTACAAATTGAACATTAATCGAAATCTACATAGTCAAACTTATTTAACTCAAGCTGTCATAAATGTTTGGCCAATAAACACAATTGATGAAAAACTTTAAACTTCTTAAGGGTAATTCAGATTAATTTGATTTTGCGTTTCAGTAAACTTACTAGATACCAAGTTGCATAATCCTAATAAGTTTAGGTCTCTGCAATTTGAGCTTAATGTGCTGTTGAAGAAGATTGACGGCATATTCAGTGGGTCACAGTAGTTAGTTTGAAAGGAGCCTGTTAACTTATAGATAACTTTAATGGAGATTGCGCAACGCGGTGTGCCTAGAGTGAGAAACCATCGTACAGGATCGGATTAAATTAGATTAGATTAGGGTAAAATAGTTTAGTTTTGAATCTGGGGGGCCATAAGTGTAATTTCGCTTAAAATTTTACTCGCAGTAATTTTCGCTTGGATTCTGATTAAATTACTCTATGCAACGTCCACGTCGCATCCACGCGTCAGACCTTGGCGCCCCAGGCCCTCTTCAGCAGATAGGCGCCCTTCTCGGCGATCATTACGGCAGGAGCATGGGTGTTTCCCGCGGTGACCTGCGGCATTATGCTGGTGTCCATGACTCGGAGTCCTCGAATGCCGTGGACTCGCAACTCGTGGTTGACCACCGCCATGGGATCGTGGCTGGGACCCATCTTGCAGGAGCCAGCCTGGTGATTCTCCGGACCCGTATTCTGCCTCACGGCGCACTCCCAGTAGGCATCGCTGCCGAAGGCATTGCTTTCGCATCCCTTGGCCACTGTCTTGTCCAGCCGCATTCCGTACTGCTTCATTGGCGTCGTTTGCGACAATCGGATGGCAAACTTAATGCCCTCCACCAGTGTCTTCACATCCCGCTCGTCTGTTAAGTAGTTGGCCACAATACGCGGCGGCTCTAGGGGATCAGCGGATCGCAGGCCTATAAAGCCTCGCGATCGGGGGTTCAAAACTGCTGGGAAGATCTGGATGGACCGAGAGTTATTCGAGAGCAACTCGCCCACCTGTCCTGTGCGGGCACAACTGGCCAGGTAGCCGCCGAAAAAGAACTGGAGATCGGGAAGGTCAGGCCTTTCGGCCCATCGAGTGGCCAGTTTTCCGGTCACATCCGAAATGCCAGTGCCGGACATGAGACCATCCCGGAACAGCAAGTACTCCATAGCCGTGGCCCAGTTAAGTGGCGCCGTGTCCGCATCGTCAATGAAGAAGTTGGTAAAATAGGCCACGTGATTGTGCAGATTCTTTCCCACGCCTGGTAGGTTGTGCACGGTCCTCACATTCACCTGCTGCAGTTCGTCCTTGGGACCCACTCCACTCAGTAGCAGGATCTGAGGCGAGTTGACAGCGCCAGCACTCAAAACCACCTCCTTCTTTACCAGGATTTTACGCATGCTGCCGAATTGGTCACTGACTTCCACTCCCAGAACATTCTTAGTGTGCGGATGAATAAGGATCTTGGTGGCCGTGGTGTTAAGCAGGATATGCAGATTGTTGCGCATGCGAGCCGGTCGCAGGAAGGCCCTAGCTGAGCTATATCTGATTCCGTTTCGGGCCGTCATCTGGGCAATCATAAATCCGGTGGAGTTCTGACCATTCAGATCCTGCACGGAGAAGCCCAATTCCTCGCTGGCCTTCAGAATGGCGTAGGATAGCGGTGGGTTGTATGGAAACTTGCCCACTGGCAACAGCCCACCCTTGGCGTGATATTCAGTGCCCACTTCATCCAGTTCCTGGTTGTCTTCTGACTTCTTGAAGAACGGGAGCACGTCGTTGTAGGCCCAACCAGGATTCCCTTGCGCTGCCCAATTATCATAGTCCTCCCGGTTGCCGCGTATATACATCATTCCGTTCATTACCGAGGTTCCGCCCAGAACCTTGCCACGCGGCCAGTAACAGCGCTGCTCCGCCGAGGACAGACAGGCCATTCGCTCCGGTTCCGTGTTGTAGCGGTAGTCGATGTCGCTGCCAATAAAGTTGAGGAACATTGAGGGAATCTGGGCTCCCACAGGCTCATCGCCACCTGGACAAGACGGATAAGATATAGCTATTAGTATATGTACTTTACATATTTGGTAAGTGGGTTTTATATAAGCTTAGATGTGATTAGTTTGTCTGATCTATCTAAAATGGAGAACTTTTAATGTCATTCGACGAAGACTAAGAACTATAACTTATCCAGCTTCTTAAATGAACATTTATCAATTTAACTATAATTTGTGTAGTATTTAGCCTAATCTAAGTACCTTTTCCCAACAAAGGGCAAGATAAAAAATGGGTTAGTAGCAAGAAGAGGAAGTTAACGAATTGTTTATGCTTAAATGCCAAATTCCTACCGGTTAAGGTAATAGATATGCACCTAAGACCGAAGACCACAATAAATGAAATAACTGGTCGTGAGTCTTGATTAATAGACCCTAACTGCCCATTAAGAAGCAGTACAAACAAAGTCCAATTCGGCCTTCAGCAGTTGGGTGGGCAGCCTCATTTGGCTTTTGGGACATTTGAGGCACGCTTTTGCTTAACCCATGGCAATCCATTATAATTAGTATATTGGCTCAATCGGCGTTCTAGAATTTCCGTTGCGCTGGGCCCACGACTCTCGTTAATTAAATCGATTCAAGTGAATCTTTGATTGCCACAGCGTGGGAGCCGAAAAAATCTTACCGCAAAATCCTGCAGTAATAATTTAACTTGGAGTTTCAACAAAGGAAATTAAGCAAAATAGCCAAATTTTGGAAAGAGATACTAATGTCGTGATACTAATGCTGTGATTCATTGAGTGCAAGCGTTATATATGTTCCCGAAATTGTTAATAACTTGTTCTGCGGCCACTCTTAACATACATATGTCTGTGTCGCGCAAATAAAAAACAAATGCGTTTCTTGGTGTTTACGCCACTGGATAAGAGAAAACAATTAGCAGCGGGAATTCGCGTTCAAATTAGCTTCGATTATAAGCTAAAGCAAATAAACAAGCTGCAGTCTGGAGCATTGGACGAACATCGTCTCATAAATATAAAGCGAATAACTCTTCCAACGCTAAAATGATTTGTATACACGATATTTAAAACACAGTGGAAAACATAAAAACAGAACCTCATTAGTTGAAAGAATTAAATTCGAAATTCTTCTTCTTCTCTAATGGGAAATGGTAAATGTGATAAAATAATTGATTTGACTTCTGCGCTGCATATATTATTATTAAAAACCATTAACATAAGTGCAATTATTAACACCGCGTGCTGGCACATAAGTTGAATATAAATTTTTAAATAAAATATAACAAAAATAAGTGGCTTGGACATTAGCCCAAGAGTGACAATGATTTGCGGCATCATGAAGTGCAAAGATAGTATATGGTTTATCACAATTACACCACCAGTTGTGCCATTAACCCGATGCGAGTTTATTCCAGGGGTCAGTGTGCCAGGCACCGGGTGACTTCTTCAATCAACAATTTGGAGATTTGAAGAATTTATTTTTTTCCGGCATGTTTTTGGCATTGACTAATTCTAGCAAGAATCAAGCTTTTGCGGCTTGCTAGCAACAAAAGCCACTTTAGACGAGGATTATCTGTTCATAGCGATATGGTCGTATAATAAGCCAGGTAATAGCCGCGGCTAATTGCACTATACAATCAGGCATTGTTGTATAATTAACGCCAACGCATTGACAACTTCGAATGCGTTTCTCTTGCGCGTTTTTTGGCTCGTAATTAGTGTAATTAGTGACGAGGCTTAAAAATTGTCGCTATAAGCAATTACTGTGCGCAAAAATTGGAAAACTAAGGGAGAAGCACAAAGTAAGCCAGGCAGAGCCGAGAACGTTCATAGGGAAGTCGTAATAGAGCCATTAGAATGCTTTCCCAGGCCTGGAAATATTTCAATTGATTTTCCAAGCACTTAGTCGTCTGATTAAGACATTAGTGTTTGACGAGAAAGAAGTAATGATTAATGATGTTTGTTTATGTATTGGGACGATGAGAGATACAACTTAAAGTGGACTTAGTCACCCAATAAACTGCCTTTACTTACGTCTGTAATAGTTGCTTTTGAGGTTAAACAAAATGATACAATTGTATGCAATTTATAATTAGGTATAACATGTTTAGTTACTCATTAAAGGTATGCCAAGTAACATGGCCATACATATTAAGTTATTTATTTCAAATATATTTAATAAGGATATCTATTGATATTCGGCGTTATATTATCTCGTTACTGGGCTGTAAAGAAACAAGTTATCTTAACACTCATGCTCGAACAAATTAATAAGACACATTTTAAATTATGCAGTGCTAAAAAGCCTCTAATACGAAGCTCGCCGCATGTTTGTGTCTAATTAAGTCAAAGTGAATGCACTGCATTGAATATCGACTCCGATTAGCAGAATTAAATACACTCGTTATTCACCCACATTCGCAAAGAATCATGTATTACACGTGATTTCCGAATCGTTATTCATTCATTAAATAAGCTGCGAGCAACAGCAATGAATAAATGCAGAAAACAAAGCCAAGCCAAACGAAAATGAAAATAACTTTTCAGGCTTTGTAAGCGGGCTAGCAGCTCGAAGTAAATCCTATACAGAGAGAGAAGATATTTGCATGGGCCAAGATTTGGCATCGGCTGAGGTGGCAGCTCGTTTAGTTTACATAATGCTCGTGGCAGTTGCGGTTGCTTCTTT